CAAAAGATTGGCCGTTGACTTGTCACCATGCTATATGGCTTGGAAAATAGTCGAGGCTATCGTTAGCAACAATATGAAGTAATTGTTGGCCAAAACTTGGTATTTGTTGGGGCGTAAATTCTTCAGGCTCATGCAAGTCTATCAGGCACAATACGCCAAAATCTGTCAAGCCCAATCAATACATATCACAATTTTTCAAGTAATTCGAAGTAGTGTCCTCGCCCTATTACAGAGGGCGGATAAGGGCGCTACATCCGCATTCGTAGTCAAATCAAGGCTGGAACTATTATCGATTTGCTAACCCAGCCCCTATGTAACGGTCCCGTTCACTTCTATTTCTCCCATTGCTTTCTGATTATGCTTATTAGTTCGATTTGTAGAACTTAAGGTAGTAGGCCCTACAATCCCAATTGGGTTTGGCAATCAGGAAATTGGGGGCCAATCTGTTTTCACTGGCTCATCAAACGCCATCGCTTACCATTAGCATGCAGGATGATGTATAACGTAAATACGTAAAGCATAAGTTCGCAATATAAATAATCAACAGTGCCTGGATCTGAATCTGGTTCCTTTGATCATTCTGCGGCATTATACACAATAGGATTATTGCCAAATCCGTTGGGTTTTAAGTCATTTAATAGGCAGTAACCGTGCGACAAGACGCTCAGGTAAGTAATGGAACTCTTTCTATGTCTTCTACCCATGATAACAAGATCTGACTGTCATATAGCACATCTATTATAAAAAGTTTAACTATGTCTAATTTTCGACCGCACCCCTTGCCCTTCACTAGCAAAGACCCCGGGATGAACGACGCGACAGGAGAGGGGGAAGCTGCAATTAGTGATCCGTGTCTTTTTCCCTGTTATGTAGCCTCAGAACCAGCGTATGCCCTTGCAAGGAAGATCAAAGAGAAGAAGCATAAGAGAGATGAAGCTAAAGCAAGTAAGATCAAGCTGGAAGAGAAAGAAAGCACCAAGTCGCAGGAATAGCTTATAGTAGAGACAATAAATATGTTTCAATGGAGCTTACTTAATAAGGAACATTAATATAGTTTCTAACAAAGAGAAGCGAGAGGGATACAATGCCTAATACATCACTTTGATTCCACGACCAACTTCTGACACAGGCTGAACAAGGAATACTTGACCACCTAAGCCATGACGTGAGACACCTCTGCATTGGGCTTGGACAGATCTGCAGCCCCAGTCTTCTATTTTGTGAGCACTTAATGACCTGTGCTAGTTCAAGCTCTCTGCCACAACTCTCAAATGCAACAAACATACCTCGCATCAGTGTAAATAAACAACAAAGCAAAAAGAAACAATGGTAAAAAATTGAAATCAAGCTGAACGTCGTTTTCAATGACGAAGAAGAAGTGATAAAAACGCGTCGTTGTGCATAAGGAACTGCCTTGCTATAATCAAGTGACACTAAAACAACTGCGGAAGCAGCAACCTTTTCATCAAGAGTACTTCCCCACCTGTAACCCTATGACCTTGACTTTTGATCCATGGACACATCACTCAAAGGTTGTACATCTGCTTGTAGTATGTCCTTGACTACCTGTACTGCCGACAGCGCAGCACCCAGAATCCAGTCATAGTGGTAAGACAGATGGCCACCGGCAAAGAAGATGTTATTCTCAGCATTCCTGGCCCATTCCAGGTGAGTTGATAGGTGCCCTGGTCGAGGCGCTGTCAATCCACTTCCTGTTGACTCAGACCATAAGATTTCTGATGCCTCGATGAATTGCTTGTGAACATCAATCCTATTACCGTACCGATCACATTGGTCCTGATATACCTCTGCAATAAAATCTAGAGCAAGTCCCTGACGCTGCTCCGCAGTGAGGGAGACCCAGCTTTGGCCATCCGTAAACCTAACAAGTTAAGAATTAGTCTTGAGTTGTAGCTAATCTTGCACTGGGAGTATTCTCACTGACCACGGGTAAATAATCAACACGCCTGGCCCGCCGGTCCCTATACCATAAGATGGATACATGAGAAGTCTAATAGGGAGGTCAGTTTCACTTTGTCCACCCATGCTACCTCCGGACGATAACTGCTCCCAAAATCTAGTTTTGAAGCGCAGTCCAATTTTGTATGCCGGTTCCATAATCAGTGAACGTATGGCCAACTGTTTTCTGGTTGACCAGCGTGGCCTACTAGTTATTGATCTCAGTGCAGGTGGTGGTATAGCCAGTATGACCCGATCAAATTCCGCGCTGATAACCCTATCAGAACATTGAGCTTTAACGGCAACTCTTTGGTTATCACTGTTGATAAGCTCTGTTACATTAGCCTCAAGAGTGATATTCTCGTGTCCAACTAGATAGGCCATCGCATCAGTCAAGCGGCTCATTCCTTGGTCTATCGTTTTCCAGCTTTCTGAGCTAAAATGCACATTCTTTATGCATACATCGACGATACTGCAAGAAAATGCATTAGGGTAAAAAAGCGTTGTTTCAAGAAAGGAGACAACAGAAGGCGGCCAGTTCTTGTGCTCTATCAGATAGCACCGGAGGGTACATTGGTCGTGGTTCTTGATAATCCATTCAATTCTGTCATTGAAATCATTATCAAGGCCTTTAGTCAGTTCCTGAAGTGCGCTGTCCAGTAGGTCCCCGGCACTCCTGTTTCGATACGGCTCAGGGACATCTATCCAACCTGCGTTGGCGGGCGTGACATCTTTTACCGGAAGTCGAGACATTGCAGATCCAAAATATGAATAGTTTCCTTCGTGATGACAAATATAGTCAATCAATCGGATGGCCATTGTTTGCGGAAGTCTTTCATGACTGTTGACATATCTAATAAGTGAAAAGATTGTGTCCTGTAATTTTGTAACGGGAATTCGCATTGCGCCCGCCTCATAATACTGGTTTTCGTCCGTCGTGAAGTGGTGCGTTTTAACGCGGCCACCCACTCGGTCAGCGGCTTCAAAGATTTTCACCGTGTATCCCTTTTCCTGTAGGAGAAGTGCAGAATACAACCCAGCGACGCCCGCACCAACGATACCAATGTTATGGCCTATGAAGTAAACAGTTTAGTTTTCCGTCCTTCAACTGCATCATAAAGGACGATTGAACTGACCGTTCATGTTTAATGTAATCGCTGAGTTCTCAAGTCTCTGGCCAATGTTGCACAGACAAGTACTTTTCTGATGAAAGTAATACTGATCGGTGATGACAGCAACCAGTGAATGTACTTGCGTAGGAAATGAATTTGAAGAGAGATGTATGATGTGGAAAGCGTATTCCTGCGTAGATATATACATAAAATATTACTTGCCGGGTCTCGTCCCTTTCTCAGTCGACCAGAAGCATTGTTAGTAGCAAGTAGCACGCAAACATGATGACGGCTACTGTTGTGTGCCATGGCGTACCGATAAATCGCTTAGTGACCTATGTTAAGGGTCAAGACAGTTTTTCCTCTGTCTTATTGGTGTGTGCTCTATTGAGCTTTCGTGACAAGACACATGAAGTCTATCATGTGGCCGTGTGTGATTAAGCGATCATACAGGATCAGTAGATCAAGAGTGGCATAATGACATCAGCAAAAGCGACACGGCACGGCACGGCACGGCACGGCACGGGATTACCTCATCCACTTTCTCTACGACCAGTGATAACAGCATCCGTCCGTCAATGTCTCTGATTTTTGGGTCGGCCTTTCCAGTGAAGAAAATTAACTTGACGATTGTCCTTTGTCCATTCCTCACCGCCCATGATAGGGGTGTCGGGCCATCCTCATCTTTGACATCCAGGTCGGGATCGAGAATGTCAAGCAACAACTTAACGACTGCTCCATAGCCATACGCTGCAGCTAGCCTGAGGCCATTCATCTACCTTTCTCATGGAGAAGTTACCCCGTTAATTGTTTGTTTTCTCGATGTCTCCCTTTTTCTGATTGTTGAAGTATGGATGTTTCGATGCAAAGCTACCCATATCTCTCAATAACTTGCCGAATACCTCCATTTCTATCCTTAGACTTTACTGAATTTCTAATAGTATAATAAAGCACCGTTCAAAATTAAAGTGTCTCGTCGAGCTTTAAATGGTAGTAATTGTAATGTATGGGTTTGGTAAAGGACGCAGGAAGACTGGTCAACTTACGGAAAGCTCCCGAGTTAGGATAGGCCACTATATCGGCCATGATAGTTCAATCACTTGATTAGGTATATATTGCTGGTATTCGATTTTTTCAGTGCTCGGGAGCGAAGTAGCTTCCTAACTTTGGGTCAAAACCTCTATCCACGATATGTTACAGGGCGTCAAATGGTTGATGAGAGTTTCGCGTCAGATGCATATGCTCATCATGACTATTTTGACTAGTAAACGACTTCTTCGTCGCCGTCTTTTTTTCTGAGGGGGCTCGAACTTTTCAGCCAAAGCGAGTTTCGACTATGGTATTATAATGTTGAATCCAAATAATTCAGTTGAGATGAGTCATGACCTGCAGCTGGTAGACTTCTTGGGAATAGCCAATCGCAATAGTATGAAAGCTTATTAATAGAAACCTCTGCTTTAAGATTCTCCAGTGTTTTTCTATCACAGAAGGCATTCCAATCTGTGAAGGGTCTAATCGATCTTCACCTTAAGTGTATATAGCTATACTTGCACAAGAAAGAACATGAGCTCACCAGCTACCAACAGGGTCTATATGATTGTATATGCCCAAGACTCCTTATTCACTGATAAGAGACGCGACACTTTAACTTGCTAAATATTATACCTTTCACGCCTACCAGCATAATACTTTACAGCTAGAAGTGAATTGCTAGAGTTACGCTAAAGTAAATGACGTACGTTTCCGTGAGGTGTGCAGGGATTCTGAATATTGGCGTCACTCTTGTGCGACATGCATATCACTGTGCCGTGCTGTGCCGTGCCGTGCTATGTCGTAGTATGTTATGTCGTGTCGTGTCCTGTTGTGCTATAGCTTTACTAATAATACTTACTAAATGTACTTATAATCTGCTTCTTTTTAGGAGTATTGCCAACAAGTGCAGAAATGACAAATTTTAGACATATCAAATCGTTTATATCTAGTCCGAGATTTTAACAAGCAGGTCTCGATTAAAAGTCGAACAATTAGCCTAGACATATGTCCAGATTATTTATTGGTGTCCGGTTAGTCAATGAAGTTCGTCCGGTATCAGCTGCATGTCGATGATTTGTAGATATATAGAACTAGGACATGCGGCTTTTGTTCCTGCACCATACGACAGAAGTTCCTCCAACGCCACCAAGCATCCTTGAATAGATAACTGGCAGAGGTAGTGTTTATCTCGACATAACACTTTATACAAATAAATTCCTCTATCCAGGCCCACTTCCCGCTCGGATGCTAGGTAGGTCAGTCAGCCACTCGCGGATCTGCTATCAGGAAGGCATTAAGAATGAGCTTGGTGGTCTGCGAATTGGACATTTTAGGGGGTACTGCTATAAGGTCTTCAGAGATAGATCCTTGTTTAATAAAAAGCCTTCCCTTTCTTTCCCATTGTGTTAAACCCGAAGTGTATTTTCT